CATTTTTTAACGTAAGTACCTATTAAAAACAAAATTATCTGCACAAATCTGATAAAATATTATGCACAACAATTTTGATTCTATACTCTTCTTCATGTAGCTTACTTTGTAAGGAATAAGGATTAAACCATTCAAGTATAATATGTCTCATAGCAGAAATCCTTTTGAAAGTTGTCATTTCACCAATCATTATTATTTAAGGTATAGTCTCACCCATACGTCAAGAATTATGATAAATTATATACAAGATTATTTTGCATCCACTACATCAATATAATAAGACGTAACTTAAAATTTGCTCGCGATATGGATGTTCAAATTATTGTGTGAATTTATTTATTATTTATTTAATAAATAAAAAAATTAATGTCACTTTCAGGAACCTAGATATTCTTCTTAAAAATGCAACTAGTGCAGTTATTAAAAACAAATTTGTAGTTATCATTAAAAATACGGAACTAAAATTGTCGTAAGGCATCTTAAAAATAACTCTAGACGAGAGATTTATAATTTTTACGTTTTTCCCATGCAAATTGATTTACCAGAATGATTGTCTTATTTTAATTATGCACCAATAATAAGTATTGATGTAGAGTACAGGCTTTCGTCGTACAAGTATTTCAACAAAAATCGTTGACATATTTACATTTGACATTTTAATAAATAGTAACATGTAATTTTTCTAATAATTTTATAATGTTGTAACTTATTTACTACCTAGCATTATGTACAACTTTTTGTATGTATAATATGTTTGCATGATTACCATCTAAAACACCATGTTTGAAAATTGAAGAAATTTAATATAGACTGTGGTGTTACACTTAAAAAGCTTTATAGGGCATTCTAATTGCTAAGAGTATATTTAAAGAAAATGATTCATTATTACCCGTGATAAATTTAAATTATCATATATAATTTAATTTATTTAATTTATCATGTTCTAATTGTCTAATTATTTTTTCAAGATAACAAAAAATATTTATTTTTAAATAAARTTATCGAAAGYCTTGCATTAATTAACTAGCTATTTAGTGTAATGGTAGTTTTCAAGGAGATTTCAATGTTTGAGATTGCGACGTAACATATTATCGTTAAATAATAAGAGTATACTACTTATATCATAATATATCCTATAAATTACAAGCTGTAGCTACTTCCTTTTAGGATMGTTTTTTGTACGCAATGATCAATCAATCAAATTTAACTCATCCATTACAGTTGAGTAGGTAGGCGAGTAACCTACAAAATGACGAGGTTTACTATAGTATCTACTGGCTACTTCACCAAGAGAGTGAATCCCGTGCTTTTTTTGTAGGTACTTTTGTGAAGGGGAGAAATGGGAAAAGTATGTACATTGTATTATGAATATTGAACAAGGGTAGGTACCTAATTGCCTGCCTACTTTTTAAAACTGAAATATGCTTGAACAATATGTTTTGGACGTTTTGATAATTAGKAATTTTTGATATCATTTATGATTATTTTAACGGTTATACAATATTTAAATGGCTGACGGCATAATAGTAAGAAAATAGTATCTTTTTTGACTTGATACAGATTATGATTGATTCTATAGAAAAAAAATTAACAGTGGAAAAAGCTCGATTTATGCATATCCTAGGCACCTAATTTATTAGGTTCTCTGTTCAATTGAATAGATAGGTACTTTTTAAGTATGGATTTTTATCAAGTATTTTTAGGTGTAGGTATTTAGCTAAAATTCTATTAATATCGCGTTAAAGTTAAGTAACTAGAATTCATAAATTCCCAAGATATTTAGGTACTAGAATTTTGATACTTCCAATATCTACATTAATAGATTGTTATCTTTAAAATTAATTCAAACGCATAGTTATGATTCTGTTGATGATATAAAAGTACATTGATGATTTATTAATCAGTAATAATTATAAAATAGCATGATTGCGTGTTTGTATACTTCACTTAATAGGTACCTACTACCTACCTAACAATACTTGTAAGTTATTATAGTGATAGTTTCTGAGTCAGAGAAGTAGTAACTATATATAGCGTGGCAGTAGACAGTAGATTTATACTTATTTGTATAAGCATATAAAAACTCATAAYATATCGAAACAATAAATTAGAGCGTGTCTACATGCAGCTCTACAGTCTACATATATATATTTGTCACAAATGTATTTTAAATAAATAAATTCTTGCAGTGACTATAAACAATATTATAACGTTAAATTGAATATTGTCTTAGTCTGCAATCGATATTACAATAATTGTACTGTATTATATGCATATATTTGACACGTGAGTTTGTGTTATGCTAAATGATATAGGTGCCTCATATAATTTCAACAATCTCGACGATTATATATTACATACCTACCTAATTAAAATATAAACACATATCTGATAAACAATTAAAACAGTATGACGTAGAATTTCATATACAAATGAAGAGTCGTGAGGAAATTATTTAGAAACAATTGTATACGTAGGCGCAAGGGGAAGGGGGCGTGGAGAGGCTAAACCCCTCCAAACATTTGTGTTTTAATTAAAGTATTACATTTTTTTTTAATTATCTAATCTACATGACTACTACATATTGTCTAAATTAAACATTGTCTGAATAACTATATCATAAAGTTTAAGCAACAATTAAGTATTTGCGTATTTTCCAAAGTAGGTATCGGATCCATCCACAGAATATAAGTTTAATAATTTTATATTGTATAGATCTCTAGATTATAGTGTATACGCTATGGAAGTGTTTTTGTTTTTTAAATTCTGAGCGGAGCGATGAATGTATTGATTTTAGCATG